GTTCAAGAGAAAATTGATGTCAAACTTAGTGTAAATTTTACCCGTTCCCCTAATTGTGCCACTGTGTGTATATCATGGGTTGGTAACGTGCTTTTTTCTATGACTGTTGAAAACTAGACCCTTTTAATGTAACATTTTTGTTGGGTAACTGGATGCATTACACAAAACAAGCCACGCCCCGTGTGTAAGAGCCTTTACACAACAGGCTATGGCCAATCAGCAACAAAGCAGATTCATTACCTACAAAACAGTTGACACCAGTTGTAATGATAATATGGGGCATGCAGTGAAACGTTTGAATCAGACTCGTCATGAAATGTCATAATTTGACACTAGCTATCTGGCGTGATTTAGAACTGACTTTTTGTACAAATATGGATTCAGAAAGCGAAAATGAATTCAACTGCCAATGCAAGTACAATCAGCCTTTTGCCCGAGGAATCTAAAAAATGGTATGAAGTGGTTTGGCGAAATGCAAAACTTGCAAATTTGTTTTCGGATAATGTACTGCTAGCCTATTTTGGCGAATTAGCAGCTAAACACAAAGCATCCTCCTTGTGGTCACAGTATTCCATGCATATACTAAAAGAAGCACAATTTCAATGAAAAATTATGTGAATATTGACAAATATTTGAAATTACGAGCATTTCTAAAAAGGAAATCTGATGGATATATGTCAAAGAAAGCGAAGATATTCACTGCTGATGAACTCAACCAGTTCATCACTCAGTCATAGAAAAAGTATAGTATCCTACTTGCGTGTAATGGCTATTACTCATTCGAATGATTACGACGTTCGCCTGCGGCTCACGTCGCAAACTTCATTCTCATGAGTAATGGCCATCATTACACGCTCGTCGAATAATATACTATTATATCATTCCCTCCTTAAAATTCAAATTCGGCTTTTGTTTGATGGAAATCCATATTGATTGAAAAACTACAACTAAACTGGTCAACATTGATAACGTCGTGTTCAAAAATATAGCCTGAATTCAAAGTAGAATAACTCACGAATTTCCTCACCAATTTGAAATCGGTTCTCACTGATTCTTGACAGTTTGTTGTGGCAATATTGAAACTTCTGTAATTTCATATAACATTGCTACAGGGTGATAATTGAATGAGTGTAAAATTGCATCGTGGTCGTCACCTTACCGTTTGAACAGATAATTTTTGAATTTTTTTTCCCCACATGTATCCTCTTGATTGATGCTTTCTCTCGAAATATTTTCGGAATTTTCAGATTCAGAGCTTTGATAATCGTGTTATGAATATTCATTCAGAATGATGCATTTTTTCGACGATTAATTGAATGAAATTGAAAGTTGGAATTCTTCTCCGAAGAATCAACGTTGTATGTATAGTCGTCGGATATGTGATCGTGTTCGGACACAGAGAATTCTGAAAAAGTCTATACAGAGTGATACAAGAAATACTGAATGATGGAATGGAGAATAACGTAGACTTCAGTAGATGAAACATAATTTTCTCTGTGTTACTAGTGGAATAATGGAGTGTTACTTCGTCATATGGATGTCTGGTGTCTGACATCGAAATGGTTTTGTAATTTCTTAGATCGGAGGTCATATAATGAAAGTACACATTTTTAATCGAAATGATGCGTTTTCGTTAAGATAAATTATAAAATTTGAAAAAGTACGATTTTAGTTCCAGAAGTATGAAATTCATATTTATTCTTGACGATGGATATACAAGGTGCGATAAAAAATATGTCCAGATTGTCCTCATGAGGCTTATACGAGGTAATATGAATGAGACTTTACATATTGGAATGAACGTCAATCCAATATGCAATTAGGATTTTTTTGACGTGAGAAAACATAATAGCAATAATTGTGAGTATTGAGTTGGGAAATCCATATTTTTTCAACGGAATTCGTCAAATCTATAACATCAGGTGAGATATTATAAATTCCTGTGAAAAAGATGATGCAGAAATGAGCATTCAAGAATTATTCTATCTCCATTCAACTTCATACTGAGTAGCAATGAGGAAAGTTTCCTTCGGAAGACCATGTTGTAGGTTCTAGGTCAGTATAAGATGCAATGGTAACAAGTATGCACCTGTATGTATAAACCTCATGAAAAGTTACTATATTTTTTCATTTCACAATTTTCGACAATGACCGACATTATATTCCTTTTTTGGAACATAGCGATTTTCATCACGTTCAAACATATTCTTCTTCATCCCAGGACAATCTGGACATATTTTTTATCGCACCTTGTATATCCATCGTCAAGAATGAATATGAATTTCATACTTCGTGAACTACAATCGTAATTTTTGGAATTTTATAATTTATCCGAGAATTTATCTATTTATCTTAACGAAAATATGACCTTCGATCCAAGAAATTACAAAACCATTTCGAGGTCAGACACCAGACATTCTCATGACGAAGTAACACTCCATTATTCCACTAGTAACACAGAGAAAATTATGTTTCATCTACTGAAGACTACGTTATTCTCCATTCCATCATTCAGTATTTCTTGTATCACTTTGTATAGACTTTTTCAGAATTTTCTGTGTTCGAACTCGATCACATATCCGACGACTATACATACAACGTTGATTCTTCGGAGAAGAATATCAACTTTCAATTTCATTCAATTAATCGTCAAAAAAATGCATCATTCTGAATGAATATTCATAACACGATTATCAAAGCTCTGAATTTGAAAATTCCGAAAACGTTTCGAGAGGAAACATCAATCAAGAGGATACAGGTGAGAAGAAAAATTAAAAAAATTATCTGTTCAAACAGTAAGGTGACGACAACGATGCAATTTTACACCCATTCAATTATCACCCTGTAGCAATGTTATCTGAAATTACAGAAGACTCATATTGCCACAACAAACTGTCAAGAGATTAGGCTAATCATCGGTGAAAACCGATTTCAAATTGGTGAGGAAATAAGTGAGTTATTCTACTTTGTATTCAGGCTATATTTTGGAGCACGACGACATCAATGTTGACCAGTTTATACGAATACGAGGCTGAATACTCTATTTTGCTTTTATTGTTCCAGTAGTTCAATTGAAGAGCGTGTTTTTGAAAATTTTGAGGATATTTTATCGTCTGTCGAGTTTGATTAATGTACACGAAATTGATAGTTAATGAATCTCCTTCCCCTCCTATTTAGGATCAACTTGTCTATAATGTCTATTAACCTACGATCATGGTATAGGCAACCAAACATACAGCGCGTCGTTTTGGATTATAACCAGTGGCGTAATCAAGGGGAGGGGGGATTTTTGAGCATTTTTGAAAATTTTATATCTATACATGATAAATTATTTTGAAGGGAAAAAAATAAGAATTTGAAGAGCTTATAAAGTACAGGGTGTTTCATTTAAAAAATCATAAGTTTGAGACATATCTGTAAAACCGTACTCCGACAAAAAAAATTGTGCGCCACTGGATTCTGCGTAAAATTCTCTATGGCACATGGCATAAGATTTTTATTTGTGATTTTCGCTGAGAAACTTCGTAGATATAGGGGAGTGCAAAGAGTATAAATTTTCAAAATCACCCTGTATCTCATAAACGGAAACAGTTATGCAAAATCTGATTAGGCCATCTTGAGTTTCACAAAAAAGTGACACAGGACCATGAAAACCACAAGGTTCTATCCCCAAAGATAACTGAGATGTCAGGCAGAAGCATCAAAACTACACCTTTTTCAATTGTAATTCAGAAAGTGTAACTTGTAATTCAGATTAGTTAATTGTAATTCAGAAACCGTCAATTGTAATTCAGATTAGTCAATTGTAATTCAGAATGCATAACATGTAATTCAGATTAGTGAAATGTAATTCAGAAAGTGTAACTTGTAATTCAGAATAGTCAATTGTAATTCATAAAGCGTATAGAAATCAACGAATGATGTGTGGTGAACATCAATATTTTAAATTTATCGACCAACGGGCATATCTTGAAATGCCAGAGCTGCAGCATGGTGAATGGTGGTGTGTTGTGCAGCCCTAGCACAATCACCTCAAACAATTGTATCTTTGGGCCTGGTCAATATTCTGTTCAAGATGAACAAGTCGTTGTTTTCAAGGAGAATGGATGCATACGGGTTGTTCCTAGTTTCAGAAACATAGTGATACTTTCTGAATTACAAGTTATGCTTTCTGAATTACATTTCACTAATCTGAGTTACATATAACGCTTTCTGAATTACAATTAACTAATCTGAATTTCAAGTTATACTTTCTGAATTACAATTAACTATTCTGAATTACAACTTATATTTTCTGAATTACATCTTATACTTTCTGAATTACAATTGAAAAAGGTGTAGACACACTACATTTTGGGTTGGTTAAAATTATAATTATCAAGTCACCCTCTAGAAATTCCCGAGGGAATCAACTAATCAACAGAATGGACCAAATCATTTGAATATTCATTGATTATAAATGCCACTTGAAATGCCATAATAATAAATGGATGTTTTATTTTTGCTAATTTGAATAAGTATCAATTTTCCTTTCAGATTTATCTTGAAATGTTTCTCTGTTGGTTGTTTTTCATTTTTTTTTTCATCTCATGAACCAACAATCTTGATCTTGATAATTTCATTCCACATTCTCATGTTTCATCATAAATGGCAATGAAGAAACAGTATTTTATTTCCACCTTGCTTTGAAAACATTATATTTTTGGTTCAAAATATTTTATATTCAGTAATACCATAGGTAAATAAATACCTAGGTTAATATACCATCCAATCAATTAATTCATAAAAATTTCCAGGAATCACTTTTAGGAAAACACTAAAGCCCAATTTGTCATCATTTTACAAAAACTATAATATAATATACAGCATATAATGTAATTTGCAATCTCCCTCCTTATATTTTATAGCATAGGTACATTGAAAATTTCACTTGCAAAATAAGATAAATATTTTTTTGAATATGCAGATTGTGAGCACCAAAGAATTATATTCATACTCACCACATGAGTCTCACTACCTTGCCCAGTTGCTGAAGCAGTCACAAACTCCTGTCCTTTCACCAACTTAACGAAAGAGCAATTTGGGAACCACCTAGCATGCTCTGTCCATGGATCATCATGCGGATCCCAATGCCTGAGCCCCCCATCACAATGGAAGCACCTCACCAGGTCCCCCATACCTTCATAATAAAAACCAGCTTGGGACAATATATCTGGGGTCTGTATCAAATCAGAAGACCACCCAACAAAAGACTGTAACCTTGCTTCTACAGTAGCAAAATTAGTTCTTTTTGGCCCCTTGTGGGCTTGTACACCAAGTTCATCAAGATTCTGTTCTTCTGCTAGAAGATTAACATTCTGAAAAGTCACTTTTTCTATTGAGCTAGAGTTAGGTGCTTCATAACCTGAGATTCTTAGTCTAGGGTTGATGACTTCTATCACATAGGGGCACTGGGGAAAATGTCTTTGGTGTTCAGTGTCTGGGTCATCCCCTGGTTCCCAAGCCCTAACCACCCCCTTGCAGAATGCGCACTTGGTGTTGTCACCGTCTCCAAAGTAGTAAAATCCAGCTCTTGCTAACCTCTCAGGTGATACTATGTTGCTGACAGGCCAGTTTTCAAAAGAAGCCAGCCGCATTGCTGCAGACTCCCTGTATGGGTTGAGGGATGTGGAGGGTGCCGCTGAAGGTGTGATGGGAACGTTGCCAGAGGAAGCAGGGTTGATTACAAAAGGGCATTCAGGGTTCAAGGCTCTGTGTCTGGTCATCACTTGGTCGCCGTAGTTCCATTCTGAGATTCTGGCGTGGCATGCAAAGCATTCCACTTCTAGGTCTTGTCCGGTGAAGAAAAATCCCGCTTTGGCTATCCTTTGGGGGGTAACTGCAGTATCGTTAGGCCAGTCGTTAAACGTCTGCAGTCTGTTACCTTCTACGTTCATGTTTTCATCGTGTTATAGGAGTTTCTGGTGGTTTATTAGCTCGGCTCCAATATGATAATTTTTCGTGGTGAAAAGAGCATTATTAAAATGATACTTTTCGGAGTATTGAAGTAATACGATTCATTTTCTTGATTTGATTCATTACCGGTAGAACAACACAGCTGATGAGATGACAATCAATGTATACTATCAGACAAATTGACATTAGGTGCGTTTTATTTGTTCCATTCTGGTAGCGGTGGTGGGAACAGAATGGCGTCTACAAATAAAACGAGAAACTTCATAACCTTGCTTGAGAGAATTTACATAAGAGGTTATATTTGTATATGGGAGATCCAAATAATTTCAAAAGCATAATACTAGACTTAAGAATCTAGAAAATGAATCAACTAATATTTGGAACAGTGATTGTGGTGATTGGAGAAACTTCTCTGAGATCGACAGAGTTTATTTTATTTGGAATTGAACTTATGAAACCTGTCTTACTTGAAAGAATCATGAACTAGTGAAACTCAGCTGAAAATGTCTTCTAAATGTCTTTTACTTTCAAAAAGGTTCGTTTTTCGTCAATCTAATTTGATATTTTGACACCTGTCAACAGTCATTCCACATCATTCCTTGTAAAGAGACGGAATGGAAAGTAGCAACCTGAATCGGAAAAGTTGCAAATAAAACGACATATCAAAATGATTCTGGTGGCGGAATCGGATAAATAAAACGCAACTATTGACAAAATGACAAGTGACTAAAAACAAATGACGAAGTGACAAGTCGAAATGACATTTGACAGATTTCTCGATCTTCGATCATTAACACGGAGTCACAGTAATGTTGTTAATGTTATTGTTATTGCATCTGCATCTTGAATTTGTCCATCTCCATGTGGAAACTGGAAATCGGCATCATTATCGGCTCTTTGGAATCTTTTGATCACTGATTAGTAATTGCATCGTACTTTTTCACCATCGCCTGTTCTTCTCTTTTTTATATTCTCTGCTTCAGTACCCAGCTCATCTTGCAGCCTCTGAACCTTATAGCCCACTGGATCAGCGAACAGCTGACTCAGCAAAACAAATTGTATTGACTATTGACTTAATTTTCGAAAAATAATGTTAATATTTTATGTTAATACTAATTCTGCTTCGTAATTCGTTACTCGTTCAGTGTTTCTATGGTTGAACATTGAAACTGTATATGAAGTCTGCTATTCATATTCCTCAATTATAATACATTAATAATTAATGAACCAACAGAGGTCAAGTCCACAATGCCAAGCCAAGATAACGAAAACAAGATAAAAAGCACAAAGGTCAACGCAGTTAATTCAAGCACCAGGGATATTCTTTCAATCCATTAGTTTTTTTGCATAGTTCTTCATTTGTCCTATCCTGACCTCAATTATTATTAAAATGATTCTTTCCAAACAATGCAAGGTAGGTAAATTCATAATTTTCATATGTCTCACCAGTCAAACACAGTTTAACCTTCTAGGTACTCAAAATGAGTTCCCGGCTGTACAGCTCAGTGACCAAAAACGATGTGGTCATCATCTCTGCAGCACGAACGCCTATGGGAACCTTCATGGGCCCCCTTGCATCTCTATCTGCCCCCCGCCTAGGAGCCATCGCCATAGAAGCAGCTGTAGAGCGGGCTGGCATACCCAAAGAGGAGATAAAGGAAGTGTACATGGGTAATGTGTGTCAAGGGGGGTTAGGACAGGCTCCAGCTAGACAAGCCACTATATTCGCTGGACTGCCAAAATCTACTATTTGTACCACAGTGAACAAAGTATGCTCATCTGGGATGAAATCTGTTATGCTGGGTGCACAAAGTTTGCTGCTGGGTGATCAAGATGTAGTGTTGACAGGGGGCATGGAATCTATGTCCAATGTGCCATTTTACATGAAAAGAGGCCAAACACAGTATGGAGGAGTGAATTTGCAAGATGGTAAGTGAAAGCCTTATTATTCTTCACATTCTAATATGGGACTTGACATTTTTTATAGGTATAGTGCTTGATGGTCTCACAGATGTGTACAACAAATTCCATATGGGTAACTGTGCTGAAAATACAGCCAAAAAACTAGGTATTACAAGGCAGCAGCAGGATGATTTTGCTATGAGTAGCTACAAAAGAAGTGCTGATGCATACAAAAATAATGTATTTGCTTCTGAGTTGGTGCCTGTGAATGTGCCCCAAAGGAAAGGGACACCTGATTTGGTTGTTTCAGCAGATGAAGAGTACAAGAGGGTGAATTTTGAGAAATTTGGGAAGCTTGCAACTGTTTTTCAGAAAGAAAATGGCACAGTTACTGCAGGTAAGTGTATTATAGCATATTGATTCTGAAGGTTAACAGAGTGGTCAAAATTTTGTACAACATAAAAAATTCCTGAAGATTTATATATTCCTTCCTGATAATCATGAAAACCACTGATCATATTTCAGGAAAATTCAAAAAATATTGAAAAATCTACAAATTTGAATGACTAATATTTTTATTGGGACATTAAGATAGATGAAGAGGAAGTATGATTTATTATAAATAAATATAAAGCACTTATATGTATGTAAAGTATGTATTGAAATACATTAACAGTAAATAGTACTATGATAATGTAATGTAAGAATACTGCCATTACTGCAACAAAAACATCAGAATAAAATGTCTTCAATGTTGCTCCACCTGGGCCGCGATTCTTGACGGTGATAGAGTAGAATGTTCCCTGGGGAGCGCTCCCCGATTTGTTTCTACTCCTCCATATCGAACCAAGAAGTTCGTATTCTTGAGCAAGAGGGAGGGAGCAAAATCATAGCTCCCCGATAGATGGTGTTGCCACGTGTTACCAAAGGTGACGACCAATCAAATACGATTATTTTCTGACATTTTGACATTCTACAGGCAAGGTGAAGGGTGAAGGAGAACGTTGAATGAATATAATTTTTCCAAGTTATTATTCATCATTCGAGAATCATTTTCAAATTGGTCATGAGGTGAAGGTCATGAAGATATAGGTAGTTGATGTGACATACCTTAGACGCTACAGTGAGAGCAGAGGCTCTTGTGGGTGCCTCCATATGAGGATTCACAATGTTAATCAGTTGCTTCGTTTAACATTTTGATAGCCGAAACATGCATTTACAAAAATTTCTGATCAGACAACTCAAAAGGGTTTTGTTTGGAAAGTATAACCACAACAACGTCATTTTCTAGTTCAACATCCAGAATATCTTCATTCATATGTTTTTTAAATCTTTTTAAATCCAAAGCACAATCGAAATCCCATGAAATAAAAAAGCTAACCTCTGATCACTGATGAGACTGATGAGAGAGTTGTTATATTTTTATTCAATTTAATAGCAGGGAGCCAATCAGAAGCGTTCCCGGTTTGGTTCTCTTAAAAATCTTGATAGATGCATTAGTAACTCCCTAGGGAGTGCTCCTCTTGTGTTATTCAGTTCAAGAATACGGTTTTCAGTTTCGGACAGTGGACACGCCCACTTTCTCTCGATTGTTCTACTCCCCGATTTTCAAGAATCGCGGTCTTTTGATGACAACAACTTGAACACTTGTGAGCGGTTTGTTTTGATGATAATATGACCAATAAGCACAAACAAAAAAACAAATGTGAACCAATGAAAACAAAGTAAATATGCGGCTTTGACAGCTTCCAAAAACTCTGATAGGTGGCGTACGGTCATTTTCTACCGCGAATAACAAATCCACAGCTTTTTCACCTCCATTTCTGATTCAGGCAAACTTCCTCTTCAAATGAATCATCAATTCTACCAACCTTGTATACTCCCAAGGTTGGTAAAGCTGACGATTATCATCATCATCATCAGTTCTACCAACCTTGGTATACTCCCGGAATCTGCTCCATCTATCTGCAAGTTGCTGATGTATCTCGTTCTTTCTGAAGCAGTAAAATCACAAACATTTTGATATTCTGACTTTCCAATGATAAAAATATCTTAATCTGGAATCTGTTGTGACATTCCTTCTTGCATAAAAACATCTAAAAATACACTTGAAATATATTCTGCATTACTGACCTCTACCCTTCACTACTCAACAAAAAGTAGTTCACATTGTTGCTCATAGATATTAACAGATATCATCCCTACTGAATACAATTTCTGACTTCATTGCTCTCATAAGGATGGTTCATCTTGTTAGTGTAAATACTGTAAATTGATAGGTAGAAAAATGTTTATTCAACCAAGTTACAAAATAAATTAAATTAGTTGAAACCAAAAACAATGTGAATCATGTTTGGAATTTCACAATTTTCGGTCAATGATCAATGATGATGATTATGTGATTCTCAAATTAAACAAGTGGGGTGTAGAAATATCCTTTGACTGTATAAAAACAATGAGATAAAATATGTTCCCGCATTCCTTATGGTACTAGGAAGACGATTGAATAAATTCAGATCTAGGATCTAGTGTAGTAGAAAAGATTTTTTTCTGCAACCCACACATACCAAAATCAGCTCTTGAATTGATATTTCTATTACTGACAAAAAAATTGGTATGTTGCTAGGCAACAATTTTAGTTCCTAGGAGCTAAAGTTGAAGTTCAGCTCCTAGGAACTAAAAAGGATGTACTAGACGTCATCAAGAATATATTAGGGTTGGGACGCATACCTGATTTGTTTCTGATTTCGGCAGATTTGGCATTTCATACCCATGCTGGAGATATAAATAAACCTCATTATAGTTAAGTATAAGTATAGGAATTATAAACATCTTAAGATTCAAGATTCACATACTTGCTTGATCTGTATTTCATTCGTTATTCTCTTGTTTTTGAATAATCACGGCAAGCAATAGTTTTTTGTCTCGAAACAACGATATTGTTTACCTCCATTTGATTATCAAGTCAAACCCAGTGTAGTATGGAGAGAAATAAATAATCGATATTATTATTGTTGACATGCTCACTAACCTAACATTTTCCACGTCTTGTTCCTATACCTGGCACTGGCGCGGTATTTGCCATTAGTGCACCTGGTCCATACACAAATATGTCACTCTGTGGTTGTATTTATTTTGGAACTACATTTCGAACATCCTTGAAAATTGAATAAACCAATTGTTTGTTGCATTGCATACATATGGCATGGCATTGGTGGATACTTCATAGATTTATTTGAATTAATTGTTTCAGTTGCAGAAAAAATAGCATGTTTCATTCGGATCGAAAGTGACTTTGTTTGACTCGCAAATTTTCATTCAAATGCAAAATTCGCTTGTCAAACAAAGTGTCACTTTTGATCCTAATAAAACAATCTACTATTCCTCTTAGGATTTTCAACGATTCTTGTTTCAGGCAATGCTTCTACTCTCAATGACGGAGCAGCAGCCCTGATTCTTACCACCCTTTCAACCGCCGAACGCCTTAATGTCAAACCTCTTGCTCGTATTTTGGGCTACCAAGACGGAGAATGTGACCCCATCGATTTTCCTATTGCACCCAGTGTGGCTATCCCGAAGTTGCTCCAGAAAACGGGGGTGGACAAAGATGATGTTGCCATGTGGGAGATCAACGAAGCTTTCAGTGTTGTTGTGTTAGCAAACCAACAGATTTTAGGTAATTTGACATTGAAGAATTTATAGAAATTTCGGTAAAACTGCATTTATCATGCGATGGTTTTTTTTTCGAAAATTTTTTTCGGTACTTACGTATTTTTGTCTGGAAAACACGAATTTGATAATGAAAATGTGAACAAACCACTATTTATCCAGATATTTAGAGAAAAAGTTCGAAATTTCGCCTTCTTTCCCCTCTTGTGTTGGTTGCATTCACAGCTACTTGCTCTTCTTATTTTGTCATTGGACACTTTATATACTCATGATGTACATCAATGACACCTAATTATTTATATAGAAAATTCGGTAAAACTGCATTTATCATGTGATGGTTTTTTTTTTTCGAAATTTGTTTTTTGATACTTCCGTATTTTTTACTGAAAAACACGAATTTGATAATGAAAATATGTGAACAAGCCATTATTTATTAAGATATTTCGATAAAACAGCATTTATCATGGGATGTTTTTTTTTTTTGAAACATTTTTTGGTACTCACGTATTTTTGTCTGAAAAACACGAATTTGTGAGTTTTTGACCTATATACTTTTTTGACTCCTTTATTTTGTTATATGAAGTGTTATCAATCTGTTTCCATGTTATTAAAGTTTATGTATGAAAACAGTAGGTAAATAAATACACTCAGTTCCAAAAAAAGTGATGCACTTGATATTTGACCTATCTTCTTAAAAAAAACAAAATTTAGTAGGCCGATTTTTATTTTGTTTTGTTTGTTGGTAGGTAATGCATTTGTCTTTTAAAAAAAAAATAAAGAGATGACAATTTTTTCAATGCCTCCTTGATGGTGGTGGAATAACTGGAACCATGATTTATTCTTAATTTTTTACTCGCCCTGTGTGTTGATTGAGTAATGGTATACAAAGTGCTTACACCCAATACGAAAGAGGTTTCTTTTATTCTTTTGCGAGCATTTTGTTTTTTTATACATTGATTTATCTCTAAAATTTTCCGAATTACAGCTTTTTTGCTGATACCTTACGCTCATCCCACAAATTAAATTTATTGAAGGATCAGAGTACTCAAAATTGATTGGGTTGTACTCTGGTAGGATCACATTGTCTTTAAAAAAACAAATGCCGTTGCCATAGCAACTAATTTGTTGTATGCTTCCATATTTGACCATTTGTCGTTGTGTCATTAATTAAGTGTCTTGTTTTATTGACTAAAATTACATAAAATGCCTCAAATAAATCCTGAACAAGTAGCTAGATTAGTTGCGTTAGTAAACGATGGGCGTAGTAAACGTTACGCCGCTAGTGCAGTGGGAGTTCATGAAGCAACTGCTCGTAGAGCAATCCGCAAGTACGAACAAACAGGAAGCACCGCTCGGAGGGTCGGTTCTGGTCGCCTCCGAAAAACTTCTCCAAGAGATGATCGCTTCTTGAGATTGCGGATTTTACGGAATCGATCAAATACTGCGGTAAATGTTCAGCAAGATCTTCGCCAAATTCGTGATGTTGCAGTAAGTAAGCAGACGGTAAGTAGACGTCTAAAAGAAGTTAATTTAAAAGCTGGGAGACCTGCAAAAGGTCCCAAATTATTGCCCGAACATCGTGCTGCTAGAAGAAATTTTGTTGAAAATTATGGACAGTGGAATATTCCTGAATGGTCTTGTCTTACGGATGAGTCAAGGTTTTGCCTTAACATGGTGGATGGAAGAAAAAGAGTGTGGAGAAGAACTAGTGAACGGTTTAATCAAAATTTAATAACAGAATGCGAAAGTTTTAATGGTGGGTCCGTTATGGTGTGGGGAGGGATTTCAATGAATGGAAAGACACCCCTTCATGTTTTTCCGGTGAGGCAGTCGATGAATGCCCAAATTTACATTGACATTTTAGAGCAGTATGTCTCACCTTATGCAGAGTTAGTGGGCAATAATTTTATATTGATGCTGGATAATGCCCGACCACACTCCGCAGCAATAGTGCGAAATTTCTTAGAAGCTACTTTTATTACCACATTACAATGGCCTGCGAGAAGCCCCGATATGAATCCTATGGAACATTTGTGGGATGAATTAGGGAGAAGGGTTCGTTCTCGCGAGAGGTCTCCGGAAAGTCTCGCAGAAATGGCAGATGCATTAGTGGAAGAATGGGATCGTATATACCAATGGAAACGATAAGCAACTTAATTTTCAGTATGCCTCGTAGATTAGAAGTTCTTAGAGTTGCTAGAGGAGGCAATACACGGTATTAAGCAGTCATCCCAATTTATAATTTTGTGTTTAATAAAAATGTTTTTTAAAATTATTGGTATCAGTTTATTTCATTAGAAAATTGTTTCTCGATAAATTCAGAAAGTTGGTAATCTGCAAGGATTCAGCAAAAAAAGCTGTAATTCGGAAAATTTTAGAGATAAATCAATGAATTGAAAACCAAAATGCTCGCAAAAGAAGCCTCTTTTGTATAGGGTGTTTCCTATGCCATTACTCAATTAACACACAGGGTGAGTCAAAAATTAAGAATAAAATCATGGTTCGAGTTATTCCACCACCATCAAGGAGGCTTAGAAAAAACCAACAAATTAAAAAAAAAATAAAATCGGCCTACTAATTTTTTTTTTCAAGAAGATAGGTCAAATATCAAGTGTGTCACTTCTTTTGGAACTGAGTGTATATGTTTCTAGTGTGTTTGTTCAAATTAGTTTGTGTAGAAAATATTCGTTCACAAACAAGACACATCACTTTCATTTTCGAAGCGGCAAAGTGCAAACCATTCGAACAAAATTCAAACCAAACACAACACAACCTCAATTTAGCACGTGATCTATTATAACCTATAAGGGCCTCATGTACCACGTAATCAATTGTAACCAATGAGGTTGGGGAATGTCTCCTGAGCTCTAGGCTCTCGTTTTCTGTAATTTCCTAAAGTTCTTGTTGACATTTCTTGGGACTCCTTGAGATATCCTCATAAATGTACGCTTGGTGAACAAAGTCTCGATAATGATCAAGAAACCTCATGATAATTTCCGTTTTATTCAGGATTGAATCCAGACAAGGTGAACATACACGGTGGAGCAGTCAGTTTGGGACATCCGATCGGGATGTCGGGAGCGAGACTTATCGTGCACCTGGTGCACTCCTTGAAAAGCGGCCAAAAGGGGGTGGCTGCTATTTGTAACGGGGGAGGGGGCGCTTCTTCAGTCATGATCGAGAAATTGTAAGTCATGGTGAACGGTTTTGCTGTGATTAGCAGTTGGCGAATTGGTGGAAATTTCGTGTTGTCCACTCACGTAATCAGAAGAAGACTATCCTTTATTCTCTGTTCGATATAATTTGGGTTAGAATGGTCCCAATTTCTTTGAATTTCTTGGGAATTTCTTTATTTCCATTTATTATCTTTGTAGGACCGTTTCCTAGGTAATATTGGTGATACTCTATTATTGAATTATAGTCCAATAAATGAAGGAGGAAAAAAAGGCAAAGTTAACGTTAATTACGCACTATTTTCATCTTCCGGTTGGAAGTAGCTTTTGGTACCTCATTAAACATGAGACAAAGTTTGACTGGAAAACGCGTGCGATGGCGAAGAAAATGGCCCCAAAAGACCAGGAAAATAGGTTTTCAGCCAATATCTCCTAAAATATGGCAGTTAGAGATTTTCGGTTCAGATAAAAATTGAAGTTCAGTTAATTTTCTACAAAAATGGTCTTTATCATTTTTTTCGAAAATTTGCCCGGTTTCGAGAATAACGGCACGAAACGCACCTCGAATAATGAGCTTCTGTGTTGTATGCCGGAGAGCACAGTCCGTGTATTTACACATCGGCGGGGGGACAAATTATTCAATAACTTTGTTAAAATGCATATTCTCTCATGATTCAAAGTTCATGTGAAAGAGGAATTCTGCTGCTCTCATACCCTGCGTGGCCGCATGGTTTGTAGCAGAGGACCCGAGCGCCACGTAGAGCACACACGCGGCGAACGACGGAGGAACGAAACTAATAAATTATAGCGTGTACATTTAGATATACTGGTTTTTTCCCGGGATATTAAAGGTATGACTTATATACATCGATGGAAAGGTGGGAATTCCCCCGTTACACTAGTTAAGGTGTTTATAATGTTAGAAATAAATAGCACGGAGAAAAAAACCACCGAAAAAAAGTGCGTTTTTTCCTTGACCCCGCGTTTTCTAATTTTATTGAAAAATGGACGACTTCGTCTAACAAAGTAATTGCACAATCGAAAAGTAGACCTTCTTAGCTTTCAAATGATGTATCATAGAAACCAATCGGATCATGTATAAATTTTTAATTGATGGTTGTTCACAAAATTTCCCCGCGCTCCAAAAACAGCAAAAAATTGGGATTCAATAAACAAATATTAAATGAAAATTAAAAAAATTAGGGTATATAAATTTCAGGGATGACGAAGGACCTTATGAGGACCCATAATCAAGAGAATTTTGAGTAAATTAGTGCAATACAAAAAAAATAGGAACAAATTCCTGGCGAGGTCAAAATTGACCGGGAGCAGAAAGTTTGACCCATGTTCCGATATGGCCAAAAGAGTCAAGCGTGACTCTATTCACAGGGTATGATAGCAGCAGAATTCCTCTTTCACATAAACTTTGAATCATGAGAAAATATGCATTTTCAACAAAGTTATTGAATAATTTGTCCACCCGCCGATGTGTAAATACACGGACTGTGCTCTCCGGCATACAACAGAAGCTCATTATTCGAGGTGCGCTTCGTGCCGTTTTTCTCGAAACCGGGCAAATTTTCGAGAAAAATGATAGGGTCTATTTTTGTAGAAAATTAACTGAACTTCAATTTTTATCTGAACCGAAAATCTCTAACTGCCATATTTTAGGAAATATTGACTGAAAACCTATCTTTCTGGTCTTTTGGGGCCATTTTCTCCGCCATCGCACGCGTTTTCCAGTCAAACTTTGTCTCAAGTTTAATGAGGTACCAAAAGCTACTTCCAACCGGAAGATGAAAATAGTGCGTAATTAATGTTAACTTTTTTCCTTTATTTATTGGACTATTATTTCATAATCAGAAAAATGTTCTAGGATTTAATCTCGAATAATTCAAAATGAAACTTTGATTATATGAACTTCATAGGAATTTCAAATTTCAGTGTATTGAAACTCCTTTCACTTGGTTCCTTCTGATTTTCTCAAAATTTCATGAAGTTTCAATGGATTAACTTTAAATCTCCTGGATTTGTTTGAAATTCCCTGGATATATTTATAAATTTCCTTGGTCTCCAGAAAATTACTTCAAATTAATTTAATTTCCTTGACAATTCCCGAATTTCCTCGACAATTCTGGACATTTCCTGAATCCCTAATAAGGTAATTGAAATCTTGGGTGAGTGGACTATTTTTTTTATTTCCTGAATGGAATCATCACTCAAATACCATTAAATTTCATATATTTTTAGAATTTTTCAAACGGCTAGTAAAAACTGACGTCATGATTTCGTAAGTAGGGGCAGACCATAGCACAGTTGCCATATCTTGATATTCGATAAGAATTTATAAATTCTCAAGTAAGCATTGATAATATACCTTTTTAAGCAATAATAAATCGTCTCAAAATTTTCCCTCATTTGTTGCTTCTATTCGTTAAATAATAATTATATTAATTCACACTAGAGGACATTCGAACCTGCGTAAGAAACGTGACAACACGGCGTACGAATTGTGGGCGTTGTCTTGTCAGTTCTCAGCATTCAGCACAATGTTGCCAAGTCTCCAACCTCCACATGATATTTTGTGATGGAAAATAAGGAATAATTGGACATGCTGGTTGCTCTAAAAAGTCAAGAATGAACTATAATATCATGGATTCCTAATATTATGTTCTATTCAACGACACGACTCTAACATCTTTTTGATAACTTGGTTATAATTGGTGACTTGACAACCTTGCTTCATGAGTCCTCCGAATTCACACACAATTTCCTTGAATCTTCGTAAATTATAATTATAATTCCTTATTGAAAAAAATGCAATTTTTCCTTTGAATTTCTTGGCATTCTCTGAATTATCTTGAATTTTCTTGAGATTCCTCAAATTGGATTCAAGAACAATGACTTGGAATTCCTTGGATTTCCCCAAAATCATCTAGAAGTCTCTGGTTTTTCTTGACATTATCTGAATCTCCTATTGTCTTCTTCTCCCTTGTTTTTATCGTAATTCAAATTTCAAGAAAGTTCCACAAAATTTGGCAAATAAAAAACAAATAGAAATAAATCTCAGGATACTTTAATATCTATTAAATGTTTCGAATAAAACAACAAATTTATAAAACTGTGAAAAATAAGTAGATACAGTATGTGCTGTAATCTGAGATTGATAGAATTTTTATCATTATTACCTAAAACTCAGCAAAATTTATCCAAATCCCACTTTGGCTGACATTTCAATGTGTAACTCGAATTTGAAATAAACAGAAGGACTTGGAATATTTGATTTTTCCTGAATAAGAGTTCATGTACCCTGTGAAAAATATTTGTATTACATTTTATCAGGAACGTTATTTATTTGGCTCTTTAAATGATGTTAATCAAATATACCTCACTGCAAGTGATTTCCAATACAAATTTTCACATTCTCATACTAATTATAAAATTATACACAGCTATAAAATTATAAAAATATATATTTTTTACCAAGCAATAAATGCCTTGTTTTATTTTCGCACCTCCTACTGGCATTTTCCAATAGCTGTTTTCATTTCGGCAGGGAGGACGCGTTGCCAAAAGGTCAACTACCGACCCTCACCCTGTACACGACCCCCACCTGTCTTCTTTGCGACGAACTCAAAATCAAATTATCCCCATACATGAATAGAGTCAATTTCCAGAGTGTGGATATCTCAAAAAAGGAGAATTTGCGATTCTTGAGGCTTTATCGGTACGAAATTCCCGTTTTATTCCTGAATGGGGAGTATTTGTGTAAACACCGGTTGAACGAGGAGCTTTTGAAGGGAAAACTCGAGGAAATTGAGGACCGATGAAGAAAATGCTTGGGAAAGCTCGGAGAATTTTGAAGCTTCGGAAAAATATTCTGTGATTTTGGAAAGTCAAAGGATTGAAACTGTGTACCTAGAGATGTGATCTAATGATAATAATGCAAATTTGATGGAAATGTATATAAAATTCTATACAGCGTGTATAAAACTTGAAATATAATTGTTGTTGAGCTTTGATGTTTCAGTAGTCATCACCTACGACCTAACTAATTAACTACATTCTATTGTTGAAAATAAGTGTGAAGAAAAAGAGTCAATTTATTGCCATCAAATGTAATCTTGCAGATTGAGACATTTCAATTTTTGCTGAGGTAATAAGTGAAATTTAGACGTTTCGTAAAATTTGATTATTGCTGTTAGAAGCAATAAATATCAAATGATTATACATATATTCGATACAATCATCATATGAACAAATTATGTTTTTAATCCTGCTACTGGGATTGAATCATAAATTGTTCAATCTCTTTCAGGGTCCATCCCCAGAGACAGCACCAGATATTCCATGAATCTCCCTATCGGCTATCATATTCCATTTCGAATATTAGGATATTCTAGAAATGATCTGGGATATTCTAGAATATCTACGGAATATTCTCTGAATATCCAAATCTGAATTCATCAGATATTCATAGAATATATCCAGGAGAACATTCTATGGATCTCCAGGATATATTCTAGGAATATTCAGTATACACGCTACCTCCACCTGTCTTCTTTGCGACGAACTCAAAATCAAATTATCCCCATACATGAATAGAGTCAATTTCCAGAGTGTGGATATTTCCAAAAAGGAGAATTTGCGATTCTTGAGGCTTTATCGGTACGAAATTCCCGTTTTATTCCTGAATGGGGAGTATTTGTGTAAACACCGATTGAACGAGGAGCTTTTGAAGGGAAAACTCGAGGAAATTGAGGACCGATGAAGAAAATGCTTGGGAAAGCTCGGAGAATTCTGAAGCTTCGGAAAAATATTCTGTGATGTTGGAAAGTCAAAGGATTGAAACTGTGATGTAATGGAAAGAATGACAATTTAATGGAAATATATATAAAAACTCTATACAGCGTGTCTAAAATTTGAAATATAATGGGCTTATATCACAAAAAATTTTTATTTCATAATTCAATAGTACTCACCCAAACTAGCTCACCACCGCAAACCGTTTCTTGCTGTGAGCTTCCTACGTTTTATAAAAAATTATTGAAATCCACGATTTTTCGGACATCTGAAAACGAAGCGCTGATGTGACGTCAAAACCCTAATACTGAAACCAGACTATTTCAGACAGAGATGAATGATACATGATTTCTGACAGAGTGAATTAGCGCAAGATCACAGTTGAAAGAATTAATGTATCAGTTGCCTCAGTTTCCGTCGGGGGTTTGGTATTTTCTTTTAACTATGGCGAGATGAGGTTTCTACGTCATAAGAGAGGGTCCGTTTGCAGAAGGTACTATTATTTATGTCCAAAAATAAAACATTCCAGTTAATTTCTCGATCGAATTTTGTCGTCAATCATTATTTATGTACAAAAGGATCATTATAAACACGGTTTGAGTTAAAAGTTCTACTAAGGTGTACACGCCCATTGTTCTTGAGCTAGGATTTATTTTAGTAGTCATCATCTACGACCTACCTAATTAACTACACTCTATACTTTATTGTTGAAAAATAGAGTGAAGAAAAAAGAGTCAATCTATTACCATAAAATAGTTATTTACCTAAGATAGAGAACGCAGTTCGTGCAAGTCATCATGGGCAGAAAAGATATTTTCCGCAAGAGTTAGGTACACAGTTTTTCCTACGAGTATTTTTGTCCATTTTATTTATGAAAAAAAAAAAAGGTTTATAATAAACAATATTTGATAATGATGCTACAAAATAACACATATATAAGACAGAATAGTTACATGGATCCAGAGATCAGTCACCCACTTGACTGATCTCTGATGGATCATTTAGATAGTCCTAAATATACTTATTTTCAACAATACAAACATCGTGTCAGACATAACCCAGCAAACATTTTGATATGGGGCATCAATGGCCTAATATATTTTTCCCATACCTGACATCAGCGGCCCAGTAAATGGTCCCATCTGCGGGACTCTATATATCAGTACACTGCGGCCGGCAGCTGGTCCCAGTGCTGGGTACCCAGCAATCATATTCAGTTCCCCGGCAAAAGGCCAGTACAACATAATCGACACATTGAGTTTCCCATAGCAAGCCCAGCATATACATAAATGATGGGACTGTAATGGCCAATTAATGACATTGGTTACATACTATCGAGGTAGGGGAGGGGTAGGGGTTTTAGGGGTCCAATGGATCTGAAAGTTCTAGTACCTCTTTATTTCACAATATAACCCTCTCATCATAAATCAGACACATACCAGATTCCAAGAAAACGATTTTATGAATGACACAATGATATATTCTTAACCTCTCTGTTCTTTAACGATGAAACTTCTCGGAGTGACTGCTTACTAGTTGGTATGTGGTATCTACATCTTATTGGGTAGCATTCCTTCAGAGTTGATTCTTCGTTGTGTGGTCTTCTGAGATGCATCATGAGTTATATATTAGTGGGCTATGAGTTGCATGAGTTTATAACTTGATAATATAGTCTGATGACGTGATGACATGGAGCTTTCCAATTCTCATTATTTTCTTGGCACTGGTATTTCTGTAGCTGAAACCTTATTGTTATTTAGTTCTTTGATATGGAGACAGGTTCACATAACCTAAGATTGCTCTTGATAGCAACAAACGAGTTAAGAATGATAGTTGCTTCTGGAGAAGTATAGTCAACTCCAATTATTATGATCATTAGGTATATGAGGTTACGAGATACCAAACACATGCATTTAATAATGGAATTCGAAACACTATGTAGGTAGATTGATACTCACTCAATATTATCATAACTGAAGAATCCGTCTTCTATTATTATCAATTGAAAATACTCCTGCCATCATGAATAACCACCAGGGAAAGAGAGGACCCATGAGAGGACCACATTAATTCGACATATACAAACTAGTTCGCGATCACCACTCACGAGAGTCAGCCATCTTAGTCACATATAATATTGATCAGCTGATTGTTGATGTAGACGTTCTTAAAGCATCCACCAGGGGGACGAGTAGCGAACATGAAATTGGCCAGCAAAGGGCCAGATCTCGTTAGGAGTCAATTAGTTACAGACATCTTACCATCACAAGGCCATCATAGTATTTTTATCTGATGGTAACTTGGTATAGGAAAATCATCGGCCCATTACCAATACCCCGGCATCGTCACTCTCCCAGACTAGCCTGCACTAGGCCGGACTTCTCCCGCTGGTTCAATGTTTGCTGGGAATGGAAATAGCTGCGAAAATTGGATTTGTTTCCGGAAATTCCAAGAAAAAAAGTACTTGGATTCTTTGGATAAATGCAGTTGTAGAAAAAGTATAGTGTGCAACATGTGGGGAAAAGTACTTTTCTCACTCGTATGTTTGCATCACTCGCCCTTCAGGCTCGTGTCACAAACTTTCACACTCGTGAGAAAAGTTGAACTTTCCCCACTTGTTGCACAATAATATACTATTCTGGTAGTTAGAGTAGAGCAGGGGGGTTCACAAACCCTCAGCCCTACCACCTCGGTACGCCAATGGTGTCCGAGCGCAGGTAACCGTTCGTGCTCTCTATTCATCGAGTGGTCGGTCACGAAACAATCGAGAAACGAACTAACGTTGCGTTGTAGTGGTCACCAGCTTCATCGTGGTACCTCTACCTTCTAGACGCAGAGTAGAGACGGATAAGTACCAGAAGTACCCTCTGACGGCGGTTCAACCAGTTAATCTTCGGGAGGCTGCGTATACCTGAGATCCTTGAAGAATCTCTACTCTAAACGTACCAGTTTAGTATGCTTGAAGTTTGGAAAAAATCGCGTTCGGACGGAAAGAATATTCGTATTTTGTAGTGGTAATGTTGTGAGTTAGGTGTTGCTTAGATACTTCAGTTCGAATTGGGATTATTTGGAAGGTGGAATTTGCAGTATTGACACCCACTATTCTGGTACCTACCTACTTGATTGCTAGTGGAAAGCTGGGTGCTGACATCTGTGTAAGTTTATGGCAGGATTGATTTCTGTTTTTTTGCGTTCGAAAAAAAAACATACATTTAATGGATTGCTTACTTTGGCTTTTGTTGTGATTCGGAAATCCAAGGCTGCACAGTATCTGTATATAAAATATAATTAGTTATACAGGGTGGCCCACGGTCGATGGTACACCTTAGACGTATACGGAAAACGGTACATTGGATCATCCTGAAAATTCGGTTACTATAATAAGCGTTTGTGATCTAACGATTCAAAATATTTTCAGCGATGCAGCGTTGCCACTTTTACCAAAAAGTAGCATTTTCTTTGTTATTTCAAATGGAACACCCTGTATTTCATTGCGTTTTTAGATTCTTCTCGAAGAGCTGATTTCATCAATGTATCACACTTGGGGTCTAGCAGGAATTATTACCGAGATATAGGGTGTTCAGAATCGAGATTTTTCAATTTCAGGAATTTTTTGTGTCGAAACTATTCATTATCGATTAAAACGGCTCACATGTCCCTATCTTAACTTTCGATTCACTATCTACTGACATTTAATTGGAACAGATACACAGGGTGATCAAAATTCTGAATCTTGGACCATCCTGTATTTTTTCCAATTAAATGTCGGTAGATAGTTGATTAGAAGTTAATATAGGGACATGTAAGCCGTTTTGACCAATGATGAATAGTTTCGACACAAAAAAATCCTAAAGTTGAAAAATCTCGATTTTGAACACCCTATATATCTCTGTAATAATTCCTGCTAGACCCCAAGTGTGATGCATTGATGAAATCAGCTCTTTGAGAAGAATCTAAAAACGCAATGAAATACAGGGTGTTCTATTTCAAATAACAAAGATGATGCTTATTTTTTGGTAAAAGTGGCAACGCTGCTTCGCTGAAAATATTTTGAATCGTTAGATCACAAACGCTCATTAGAGTAATCAAATTTTCAGGATAATCCAATGTACCGTTTTCCGTATACGTCTAAGGTACCATCGACCGTGGGCCACCCTGTATATTAGGTGAAGAAATTATCCATAGTCACCTCATTTTTATATCTACAACAATAAAATGATGAATTTTGAAATAGCTAGAATATATTTCACTAAAACTACACAAAATAACATCAAGAAACTGATGATAGGTATATAATCCTTGAAAACTGGTTTTCCATAATAGATACTCTAACAACACAGGGATGTCCTAGGTACGTCCCTTTTTTGTCCCGCGGTACAAGGACAAGATTGGGGCATCCAGGGGATGTCGCGCAGTGGTTGTCCAGTGGACATCCCGCCCGGTACATCCCTAGGTTATCCTATTCGTGTCCCTGGAATATCTGATATCCATTATTCACATCAGAGTCATTGAATTTCATATAAGTATTGAGTTGCATTTTTTTGAAAATGTTTGTTTTTCTTCCGGAAAATAATCGTAATGAAAATAAAGAATAAAGTTTCAGAACTTCTTAAGAAATTACCATTTTTCGCAAACATGCATAATGCCCCTCATTTTTAAACACCCAAGAATGATATAATAATTATACCCAAATCCTAACAAAGTTG